GTGATGGCGTAGGCTGCAGCCCCTGTGGCAGTGGGCTGCCATAAGCTACAGAGTGTGGTTGGCAGCCAGCGTGAGCGGCCGGCAGCCAGTGTGAGCTGCCATGAGCCGACGTGAGCAGCCATCCAGAAGCCCGCGACCCATCTGCCTCACCCGGGAAGAGCGCAATGATAATACCAACATGGGGCCAGGGAAGCGACGTCCTCCACAACTAGACTGAAGAACAAAAGGACAGCAACTTGTCTGTTCCCCTTCCCCCGATTCCTCAGCGCTGTCCCCATCCCCCAATTTCCCAATAAAAATCTTTTAAAAAAAAAAATCTGTTCTATCATTTCCTTACCCTAACTGAATTGTATAGTTACCAAAGTATCTGGAGGACAAATTAAATGTGCTAATAAAAATACTAAAATAAATGTGATTCTGAAAGTATGAAAGCCCAGAGGCTCTCAGAGAAGAAAAGAAGCAGACTGAGTTAATCAGGGAAATCTATTTAAACTTTAGAATCAGTACCACATACCTGAAGAGTACCTAAAAAGGTACTCTGATTCTATTATATTTATATGATTCATTTGTTCAAACAAAATTTGTTTTTTTTTAAGATTTTTATTGGGGAATTGGGGGATGGGAACTGCGCTGGGTAATTGGGGGAAGGGGAACAGACAAGTTGCTGTCCTTTTGTTCTTCAGTCTAGTTGTGGAGGACGTTGCTTCACTGGCCCAAGTTGGCACCATCATTGCGCTCTTCCCAGGCGAGGCAGATCAGTCGCCGGCTTCTGGACGGCCGCTCACAGCGGCTGCTGGCCGATCAGGCTGGCTGCCGGCCACACACGGTAGCTTATGGCAGCCCACTGCAGCGGAGGCTGCAGCCTACGCCGTCTCCAGCGACTCACGGCAGCCCAGCTCCAGGTTGAACTGTTGTTCAGCATCTTAGCTGCAGAGGGCTTTGTCACTGGCCCTCATATGTGGGATCTGAACCGAGGGCCTCTGGCATCCCAAGCCAGCTCTTAATCAACGCGCCACTTGGCCAGTCCCAAACAAAATTTTTAAACCATGAAGGGCAGAAACAATGTGTCTTATTTCTTCTTTTTAATTCTCCAATAGTTCCAAGTTAGAGCTACAATGAAAAAACTGTTTCAACTTTAATAAGCATAACAGAGCTTTCACATAGGTTTTATGGTAGTTCAGTATGAAAGTTAACAACTTGCCAAATCCACTTAGTGAAGAGAAACATTTCCAGCAAATCAAGTATGACCTTAGTGCTTTAACTACTATTTAATAATTTAATACTAATGCAGCATCATGTAGCAGAAAGGATGCCAGAACTGAAGTTAAAAAAAAAAAAAAAGGAAGGGAAGAAACCAAATATGATGAAACAAAAGCCCATTATTGCCAAGAAATATACCTGCTTTTATTGTTACTATTCAACATTGTTCTAAAAGTATTCGCTAATTCAATAAGAAATGAATGGGTAAGAAATTTAACATATACCAAAAGAACAGAGATATGATTACCACTTTTTGTGATATGACTTTCAATTTGAAAAAAGTCTAACAGAATCTACTGAAAACTTTTTAGTGTCAATAAGAGAGCTCAGTTTGCAAGTACATTTATAAAAGATAAAGTGTTTACAGATACTTTGATGATAAATTGGAAAATATACTGAAAACAAGAATAAAAAATATAAAAAAACCTAGTAATATATTTAATGAAAAAGCAGTAGGACTAGTCAGCTTCTGGAAATATGATGAATTAGATACTCTAAAGGGCTGCCTAATTACAATAAAGCTATAAATAAACAACAAACATTTTTTAAAGCCTTGCTAGGCTCTCAAAATACAAAAAAAATCAAGCATCTACTGGTGCTTCCACATTATTAAATGTGGTAGTTAAAGCACTAAGGTCTTACTTGATTTGCTGGAAATGTTTCTCTTCACTTAAATGGATTTGGCAAGCTGGTAACTTTCATACTGAACTACCATAAAACCTATGTGTAAGCTCTGTTATGCTTATTAAAGTTGAAACATTACCTTTTCATTGTATCTCAAAAGTAAGTAAAACAAGAAACCAAGGGTAAAATAATTGGAAAGAAATAAATAAATGTTATTATTTATATGATTACCTACACAGAAGATCCAAAAGAAACTACAGATAAGCTAGAATACAATTTAGAAAGGTAGTTGCCTATAATTTGAATATCCAAAAGCATTTCTATACCCCAGCACCAAATGGAAAATATAATTTTTCAAAAAAACATACCATCTAGAATTGTGGCTCTCCCAAGATGAGACTGTTAGAATACTTTTCCTTCCCCACTCTTGCCATGCTCATATGAGCCCTTTAGAATTCAATTACTTCCATATTTCTCCCTTTCCCTTCTAGGTTTTGAAAAGAGAGTTTAGTGCTTTTAGTTAGAGACTAATCTTAGTTTTCTCTTATAGTATCTCTTCTATATCAAGAGTTCTTATTTGGAACTTACATTTCATATTCCCAGTAATTCTATCATAACCCATTTACATCTAACCAGTTACATATATTACAGGGTTATTGCTTGCCATTATTTCCTCTCTTCACTTTCCTCTATTTTGAAAAGTCTCTTCTCTGATTATTTGTTGTTTGGTTAAAAGCCCTTCGAGAAGATTTTTTCCAAATGTGATAGAAAATTTGGCATGCCTCCATATCTTCCTTTCATCTTGTCAAAAAATGTTAACTTGAGTGGGTCCCATTGTAGCAGTAATCTATAGATGTTTTTCCACTGCCTTCTAGTTTCTGGTGTTTCAGATAAAGAGTCTACAATCTGGTTCTTTCTTCCTTTATAAATAACATATATTCTTCCTGAAAGGCTATAAGATTTTCTTTTTATCCTTGAAATTCTGAGATTCTCCCAGGTATCTATCCTCTCCCCCACCCCACCCCCATAAATTCAGCCTCAAACTTGCTTAACCTTTTATTCCACACACTAAAGTCTTTCTTTAGCTCAAGGGAACTGTTTTCTATTTTTAGTTCAATTACTGTTTCTCCTTTATTTGTCCATTATCTTCCTTCTGGGACTCCTGATATTTGCACATGAAGTCCCCCAAGTCGCTTCTTTTTTCTGCAGGGTGTTTTTGCTCTGAGATACCTCTTGCGTTTAAACTTCCAAGCTACTTCATCAGGTGCTAACAGTGGCCATCCAATCCTTCAATTCAACTACTATACTATATTTTAATTCAAAACACAATCTCTGCATAGTTCCAGAAAGCATTTTTCATGCTATAATTCAATCTTTAAAGCAGCTGTTGTATTTATTGACTCAAGGTGTTTTGTTTTCTTTAGCAGTTTTATTTCACTGAAAGCTGCTATGCTGAGTGTTTTGTTTATTCTATCTGTGTCTCGAAATTGGATCCCCTTCACTGTATTCCATTTTTCTGCCTCCCAATTGCTCTATTTACCCTTAGATAATGTAAATGATGGCAACCTTGTCAGCAGTGGCAAGCACAGCGGTCTGTGCCCCATGGATAGGTGATGTACCGGGTGTACCAGTCACTGAGTCCATTTAGGGGCCTAAATAAGTTTCCCTGGTCTCTTCTGACCAGCATCAAGGGTAAGAAATACTTATCTGATCTGTTGAATCACCCTGTTGAGGTCCTGAGATCTCCACAGCTCAAACTCTCTCCGGGCAATTCTGAGTATCTGTTCTCTCTCCCAGTGCTCTCTAATTGCACCATTCTGTACTCTGGCCCAGAGGGGAACAGAGTCCCTCACGAGCTTCTCAGTTACTTCTCTCACAGAATCAATGCCTTGCTCATTCCTTCCAAGTCCTGCCTGCCCCCGACCCCAACATCTGCTCCACTCAGGGGAGTTTGCTGGTGGCTATAAATGAAGGCCAGCAAGAATATGACTTTCAACAGTCATCTTCCCAGAAACCTCCTCTACCCTCGAAAAAGTGGAAAATATTCCAACTGCCATCTGTATGTTTCGGGGAATGTAATAAAGAATAGAAGGACACTTTCTAAAGGAATCCAAAATTATCATTCAATCAATAAATATCTGAGTGACCACCATGTGCAGGGCGCTGTCCCAGGAGCAGAAATAGTAGTATTGGTCCCTAAGGAGTTTCCTTGGAAAAAGGACCACAATAACTTACATGTTTAAATTCTGATGTTAGTGTAACACAAGTTCTGTTAAGTTTTTAAAAGGTGAAATGAAAAACTGGTTCCCACTACATAATCTCTTTATCATCAAGCACACTTTTCTGGGATATAACTGTCCTTTAGATTTAAGATGAAATAAGTTAAAGCTCTCACAGTGATTATCTATTAAATATATGGAAAAATATATGATGAAAAAATTGTCTTTTCTTTTTCCTCCTCTAAGTTCTTATGATGTATAAGTAGAGAATAAGAACCCACAGAAAGGACAAACTTTCCCTTTCTACCACTTTTGCTGTACTCCCAAACCATCAGCTTCTATCATTTATTAACTCTAAAGCTGCATACAAAGTCCAGCCATATGCAGGTTCTTCTAGCACCTAACGGGGGTGTAAGCACTCTGTGAACTCGGAATTCATGTGAAAGTACAGATAAGTCAGCTTTTTATAAAGGAAAGAAACAAAGGTCATAGGAATACAAGAAAACAAAGAAGCGTTTGTTAGGCTGTATGAGGAGAAAACACGAGTATGAGAATCTGCAGGATTTAGTAAGGTACCAGAGATGAGGACGGAGAAAGGGTTAGGGAAGCACAGTTGGCTTCCTGTTGGCTTTAATGAAAACTCTTCAAGTATTCCAGGGTTCAATGTTTCTGGTATAGCAATCAGCTGAAGAGTCAGTCTTACAGTCCACCTCAAAACTAGGTGACGAAAAAGGGCCTATAAGCACAATAAAAAGTTTAATTTGTTTCCCAAAAGACAGGGGTTACCTTTGATGGTCTACTCACTCCTACCCCAACCTGCTCATCCAAGATGCATCTCATGAGTGTCAAGGACAATAAATGACAATCTAAAAAATGGATTTTTAAAAAAGTACATACCTGTTTTAGGCCATAATGCATTGACTGCAATTTCACCTTTAAATTCTTCTGCCATTCCAAGCACACACATAGACATGCCATACTTAGCAATGGTATAAGCTAAAAGAAACCATAAAAAATAGTAATTTAATTAAGAAACAAATTAATTCGTGAGTATAAATAACCAATTTCTTTTTTTTTTCTAAAGATTTTATTGGGGAATTGGGGGAGGGGAACAGACAAGTTGCTGACCTTTTGTTCTTCAGTCTAGTTGTGGAAGACATCGCTTTACTGGCCCATGTTGGTATTATCATCGCGCTCTTCCCGGGTGAGGCAGATCGGTCGCCGGTCACTGGACGGCCGCTCACAGTGGCTCTTGGCAGCTCATGCCGGCTGCCGGCTACTCACGGTAGCTTATGGGAGCCCACCACAGCTCCACTGCAGCCTACACCATCACTGATGCACTGGCAGCCCAGCTCCAGGTCGAGCTGTTGTTCACCATCCTAGCTGTAGAGGGCGCAGCATCATTGGCCCCCATGTGTGATCCGAACCGGGGCCCTACTGCTCAGAGATGGCGTCCCAAGCCAACCCTTAAGCAACGTGCCACCTAGCTGGCCCTCCAATTTCTTCCTATTACTATTTCCTCCTTGATACATTTCCCATAATTCTTTAATAATATAATACTATGTACAAAATATAACTTTTAAACTGTACTATTTTTAAAAAAACAAGTATTTATGGAAGTAGCTAAACTAGTTTTATATGTATAGGGATGAATTAGTTTTATATATTTCCATCCTAATATTTGAGGTGTTTTTTGCAATATTATATTAGTTTCAGGTGTACAACATAGTGATTAGACATTTATATAACTTGTGAACTGATCAGCCCAATAAGTCAAGTACTCATCTGACACCATACACACCTATTACAATATTATTAACTATATTCCCTATGTTTACATCCCTGTGACTATTTTCATAACTGCCAACTTGTCATCCTAATATTTGATTAAAAGAGATAGTAATAAACTTTCATTTTTCTTAATATTATGGGCATAAGTTACATTATTGTTTCATAATCTGTTTTTTTCTAAAAATAAAAGTGATCATTTAAAGGGAAACTGTGCTAGTAAAACAAGAAAATGTTACAAATGCTTCTTTAGTCAATGAAAACAAAACTTCTTTCAAGTTTTGTTCTGTAGGTTTTTCATTTCTATTCCAACTGCCTTTCCAAATTTTAGTGAATAATGTAGAAATAAGGACTAAGTATTTGATACATTTACTTTAAAAGTGGCACCTATACATAAATCTTGTTATTTAGTATACTCACATTAAATCATTAGTTGGCTATGAAAGGAAAAGTATTTCATGGATAGTTTTTAACCAGCTTTAATGAATAAATTACATACAATAAAATACACCCATTGAGACTTGAGGGAGCTTTCTGGGATGATGGAAATTTGTATCTTGATTTGGGTGTTGATTATATGGTGTATACATTTGTCAAAACTCACCAAACTGAACCATTAAGGTATAATTTTTAAAATTGTACCTTATTTTTACCAATTTTTAAAATTACTGATTAAAGATTAAAAATCTACTTTCCAAAATGCTACTGATTCTGCATAGAAAATTCAATGTTGAATGCTATGTATAAACTGTGATTAAATCATAGATACACTGGGCCAGCCAAGTGGCGCGTTGGTTAGGAGTTGGCTTGGGATGCCAGCTCTGAGCAGCAGGGCCACGGTTCGGATCCCACATGAGGGCCAGTGATGCTGCGCCCTCTACAGCTAATATGGTGAACAACAACTGACCTGGAGCTGGGCTTCCGTGAGTCGCCGGAGACAGCGTAGGCTGCAGTGGGGCCAGCCGGCCGGCAGTGGGGGTGAGCTTTCATGAGTTGCCATGAGCCACTGTGAGCGGCCGTTCAATGGCCGGGGAGCAACTGCCTCACCCGGGAAGAGCGCAATGATAATACCAACATGGGCCAGTGAAGCGACGTCCTCCACTAGATTGAAGAACAAAAGGACAGCAACTTGTCTGTTCCCCTCCCCCAATTCCCCAATAAAATCTTTAAAAAAAAAAATCATAGATATACTGATTTAATACAAAACAAATTAACCAAACAAACCATCCCCTCATTCTACCACCTACCACAGTGCTGTTTGAACCACAGTGGATTCAAGTTCAGTGGCGGGCTGAGATTGAGGATATGAGCAACATTACTCTTTTTCAAATAAGGAATACATGCTTTAGATCTGAAAGCAAAAGAAAACACAAGTCAAGTTAACAGCTTTCTTTTTTTTTTTTTTAGGTGTATAAACTATTTATTAACAGACAAGGCCTACATATTTACTTCAGTGCTCTACATATTCAGAGAAACTTCTCTATTCACAAACTAAAGAAATGATTCCAGAAAGTATAGTCTTAACAGCTCTCTAACAACTTCCCAACTTTTTAAAACTACTCCTACAGAGCAACTGAATGTAATCTGTAGGGTACTTTTGTTGTTTTTACTTTTCTAGAATGAACATAGGAAAGGAACTTATTTTTGTCCTTGAAGCTTTGCTTAGCTTAATGGCCTGACAACATGCTCTGCTTGATGATAATAGTCAAATCCTTGGCACATTAGCCTTAAATCCAACTGAGGTTATCCTCCACTACATCCTTCCAAATTCTTCCTCCCCAACACACACACACACACACAATTTTCAGTAACAGTTAATATACTTGTCAGCCAGCACAGCCAGGACTGTGATAAAGAACATGGATGTTGAAGTCAGAGAGACCTGGTTTCAAATCCACCTTCTGCCTTTCCATTGTATGATCTTGGTAAAAATATATAGCATTCTAATTCTCAGTTTTCCTATTTGTAAATGTTGATAATACCTGCTACCATCTAGGATTGACCAAGGGATTAAAATGAGATGATATATATGAGATACTTTAGACAGTGCATATATAAAATATGAAATAAACAACTGCATTACTTAGTTAGTATTATAGATACTGATTTATTTCATCTTAGTAGGTATGGTATTCCTACTACGCTCGAATTATAATAACGTAACTCCTAATACATTTGTCACTAGGTTGTGCCACCACATCATTAGTTCATCTTTAAACTTCGACTGACTTTCTTGTATTCTCTACCTAAAATATCCCAACAAAAGTGGCTGAACTCATCAAGAAAAGGCAGAAATTCCGGGGCTAACTAAGCCAGTGGCAGGAATTAGATAAGGAACCTAAGGACCATCACCAAGAAACTGGTTTGCACTGGAAAAATCCAAGATGGCACCTGAGACCCCTTCCCAAGCGAATTTTTGACAAACTCTTCTTCATTAACATACTAAAAACCACACTCAGGGGTGGAGACTTAACATTAAAATGAGACATGTGATGCATGGGTAGGCATGCTCCATGCATATTTTGGCAATGCGCATGCTCCCTTGGAAATCCGAGAACTCGCCATATTTCCTTGGGAACCTCCCCCCACTGAACCTGCCTACTTCCCCACCAGGCCCATTAATGCTTTGCTAATTCCCCAGAATGAGGAAGAAGGAATCATCAGGCATTTGATTATCGTTCTCCATTCCATGGCCAAGGAATAAAGTTTCTGACTTGCTTTGCTGAATACTGTCTTGACCTATTGATGTGAGCGACACCGGGCAGAAGGACCACAATTTTGGGTCTCTCTAACCTGCAGAGGTTGGTGACACATTCCCAAATTTAATTTGCACCAATATACAATGCAATATGCCTTTGGGGGCAATATTTAGTTTTATTTGTTTTAAATACTGTTCATAAAGGTAGGCAATTTATTTTATAAAAGACTCAGGTCCAATATTTTAAAATTTTTTATTATTAAGCTATAACATTTAAGCTTAATAACGCTGTAGCTTAATAATTTTACAGCTTTTAGTTTTACTTAGCATGCAGTAACTTCTAGGATTTTGAATTTACCTATTCTTCTTTCAAGTCAGTGTTTTTATTACCAAATGTACAACATCCTTGTTACCATCGACAATGTCTTTTCAAGTTTATAAAATGAATGCAGTCAATATCACTAAAGGGTTTTTGTTCATATTATTCCTTTTTATGGGGGTGAGGTGGGGCGAGGCAAACAATATTACAACTGATAGTCATTGAAACAGTGAAGCTGTACCTCTCAAAGCATCAACAGGAAACAAACCAAATCTGTTCCAGGCTATAAGGCCGTACTTCACATTCAAAGGAAAGAGTTCATTTCCTTTACATTAGAAACATGAGCTTCTCCTCTGACGTATTAGATAAAACCTTTCCACCTGCACTTTGCCCCCTGACCCCCACCATTACCAATCCTAAATCAGGGGCATCTTTCTACAGCAACATGCCCTATCTTATATGTTACACCGAAAACTCTTAGCACCACACTCAGATGCTAATACCTTCAGCTTCATAAAATAGTTAAGTCTGTTGAAAACTTACTGAGTGCCAGGCATTGCATTAATTACTTTTACATGAATTATTTCACTTAATCAAGGTTGCAAGCTCAAAGGCCCATAGGACATTTGAGTCAGTGAAGAAAGTAAGCTGGGTACAGGAAAAATCAACTTGATTACTGAATTTCTGTAAGCATTTGACATGATACAAACACATACAATTCTGGAGATTATATACTTAATTAAAACTTAAAAATAAAAATTAAGGGTCTGCCTTCCACCTGACCGCTGCCTTCTAACCCTGTTTCTCTAAACCTCTGAAAGTCACATGTCACAGGCCAGAGTGCCCTGGGCGCCAAGGGTCAAGAAACAGCTCTAGATCCTCGCTGAAACCTCCAAACAGGTCAGTTCTTTTGGCCTTCTGCCCACTCTCTCCCTCAGGCTGCTTCTCAGGCTTCCCAGAGAAGACAATCTATCTTCCATGAAGAAATGAGTGTCATTAAATAAAAAACAAAACAAAAATTAAAATGGAACTGTTTCATTACGAATTTCTCTTTTATAACTTAAGCCTTTCCATAGAAGGCCAAAAACCTTACACCTTTTCTTTCGTCCAAAGGTCAATGTCAGGCTTTCCTTTGGCACTGCAATAAGCCTTTAGTTGAGAATAATATCTAGTTTTTGGTTTTGTTTTTAAATAGCTGTTCATAAATGTAGGAACTTCCAACAGTCAATAGAACCTTTGCTTTAAAAAAAGCTTTTTGGGGGCCGGCCAAGGGGCTCAGTTGATTAAGAGCATGAGCTCTGAGCAAAAGGGTCACCAGTTCGATTCCCACATGGGCCAGTGAGTTGTGCCTGAGCTGAACTGCCGCTGAGCTGCCAACAGGTGGTGACAGCATGTGCTCCTAACAACAAGGTTGCCAGTTCAGCTCCCTCATGGGATGGTGGGTTATGCCCACCCGCAACTAAGATTGAACACAGCACCTTGAGCTGAGCTGCCCTGAGCTGCCGGGTGGCAAATGGACTTGGAGCTGAGCTAGCCGCACCCTCTACAACAAAGATTGAAGGACAACAACTTGGCTGTACCCCTTCTCCAATTCCCCAATAAAATATTAAGAAAAAAAGGTTTTTTTACTTTAGGCTATCTATTCCTGAAGTATTTGTAGATCTGTTTTCCAACATACTCCTATATAGTTTTTAGTACCTCAGTGTCCTACAGCTTATATATTCCATTTGTAGTTTAACTACGCAAACAGTACTCATTGAGAAAGGTAACTGAACAAGATTAGTTCCTTTTTTTATAGTTTGAAATCACTGTTTTGTTTTAAACTGAACCTTCATATCTACAATTGTAGAAATGTAGTTTAGGCTGTCATTTTCATTTCAAACTTACGTGAGGTAGGTGCCTCTGGTGTTGACATTGAACATCAAATCCACCCTCTTCGTAGGGGTTTCCAATGTGTTCGTCAAGCTAATAGCACTGGCATTATTCACCAAAATATCAATTCCTGTTTTCAAATAATCAACTTCCTATTAATGTAATTTAAACTTTAGAACAAAAAGAAACACATTTACTCTGTATAGTAGAACCCTAAGTTGTTTCACAAATACTTCCTTTGGAAATATTAGACTGACAACATACAAATACAATACTCAGTAGCTGTATCAAAACACCCAAATCGGGGCTGGCCGAGAGGCGCGATGTTTAAGAACTGGCTTGGGAAGCCAGAGGGCCCCGGTTCAGATCCCACATGTGAGGGCCAGTGACACTGCCCTCTACAACTAAGATGTTGAACAACAGCTCAACCTGGAGCTGGGCTGCCGTGAGTCGCCGGCGACGGTGTAGGCTGCAGCCCCTGTGGCAGTGGGTTGCCATGGGCTACCGTGTGTAGCCAGCAGCCAGCGTGAGCGGCCAGCAGCCGCAGTGAGCG